TGTCAAAGTGATGCGAGCCATTGAGAGTTAAGGAGCTCTTTGGACTCAAGTGCTGATTACAAGAGAATGCAGTTATAAATCAATCTTGGGGAACAAGGCTACTCCTTAGCTATGTAACTTCCTAATGAGCCAAGGACAATGGTATATGGAGTGGTTAAGAGTGTGAGCTCAAGTCAGACTTCTGGGTTCAGTTTCGACTATGCTATCAAAAGTCTTTATGCAAGTTATGTACTTTAAGGCTCCCATTTATGTAATAAAAAGCATAATAGTTCCTCTCTCACTAGGCTTTTGAGATAATTCATTCATAGAGGAGCTTAGGGCAGTCTCAGGCACATGGCAGTAAATCAAAACAGGCTAGATATTTTTAACTTAATATTAAACTATGACTTAGATAATCCATAGTAGTATAAGACTAAAAGGAACCATCTTATATTCCTGCAGCAATCTGCTATCTAGCTTCTGGAGGAAAAAAAAAAACAGCTGAAGGTTAAAATTCCCAAGATGGAACCACATTGGCTATACTTGTGAGTAACTGAGGATGATCCCTAGGTACAGAATAATATCTGTGCCAGGAGCAAAGGTTATAAGGGATGCCTTCTAATGTGAAAGTTGAGACACCCAACCCATATTCTCAACTCTTTCTCCATGGTGAACTATAGGATATGAATGACACCCTCATTACAGGTTTGTCATGAGAAACGTGCCATGGGTGTGCACACAGGGGACATAATGCAAGGTCAAACAGCAGGAACCAAAACCCTGGCACAGCAACAAGTTCATACAAGGTTTTCCCATATTGTGATCAGTATAAGGACTCTGGAGGACATCCAAGTCTGCTGGCTTCCAGCAAGAGGTCTCCCTATTGACATCTAATGACCAAGAACATTCCTGCAAAACACATTTCCTTGGGACCTATAGTACTTTCCCCATCACCTCTTCAATATTCCTATGATTTGCCAATTAAAACTCCTGACCAAGCTGACTATTGCCTCCCTAAACCTGAAGAGTTTTATAAAATAGTAAATCACTGGATTTGGGGGCTAATCAAGATGGCATGTAAAACCCTAGAGATATATTGCCACCTCTTCCCAATTCTGTTCCCTTTGATTAATAATTTATTTCTCTTTTTATGGCTTAGAAACTGGCCCTTCCACCAAATGTTCAGCAAAAGAACTCACATCAGGCTATCCAGAAGCAATTCCCTAGCTACATGGTAGACAAACCAGCACCAGACCTGAGAACCAACTCTAAGAAGAGCTACAGTCTCAGTAGGGGAGGGTGAAAGGATTTAAAAATAAACGGAAGAGCTAGCTGGGCATGGCGACACATGTCTGTAATCCCAGTGACTCAGGAGGCTGAGGCAAGAGGATCACAAGTTCAAGGCCAGCTTCAGTAACTTATGAGACCCTGTTTCAAAATGAAAAAATAAAAAGGGCTACAGATGTAGTTAAACGGCAATGCACACCTAGGTTCAATCCTCAGTAGCCTCTCCTCACTCCAAAAGAAATAAAAAAGAAAACAGAAGAGCCAGACATCAGAATTAACTCTGGGAGCTACAAGACATGGGAAAAAATGATGTGACAGAGAACTAGATGACTACTTCTTTTCATCTAGCAACAGCAATGGAATCTGGGCTTCACTTCAAGATCAAAGATCCAAGTGGGCATTTTTCTTAGACTTGGGTTTTGGCAGAAGGACACCCCCACTGTGTCTGTATTGCTATACTAGGTTTGATGGCCAGGCAAATACAAGATATAGGCCTGGTATGGAGGCACACACCTATAATCCCAATGACCCAGGAGGCTGAGGCAGGAGAATTGCAAGTTCAAGGCCAGCCTCAGCAACTTAGCAAGACTCTGTCTCAAAACAACAACAAAAAGGACTGGTAACAATAAATGTTGGCCAGGATGTGGGGAAAAGGGTACAGTCATACACTCTTGGTGATACTGCAAATTGGTAAAACTTCTCTGGAAAGCAATATGGAGATTCCTCAGAAGACTACGAATGGAACCACCATTTGACACAGTTATCCCACTCCTTGGCATATATCCAAAGGACTTAAAATAAGCATACTATAGTTATTCAGCACATCAATTTTTAAGGAGGCATAGTTCACAATAGTTATGCTATGGAGCCAATCTAGGTGCCCTTCAACAGATGAATGGATAAAGAAAATGTGCTATATATATATACACAATGGAGTATTACTCAGCCATAAAGAAAAATGACTTTTTGACATTTGCTGGTAAATGGATGAATCTGGATACTATCATGCTAAGTAAAATAAGCAAATCCCAAAAAACCAAAGGTTGAATGTTTTCAATGGAATGTGGAAGCTAGCCCACAATAAGGAGGGAAGGGAGAATAAAAGTTCAGTGGAGTAGGGAATTGAAGGGAAGGGGAATGAGAAAAGGAAAGACAGTGGAATGATCTAACTTTCCTATGTACATACACAAATATACCACAGTGAATCTCCCCATTGAGTACCTCCATGAGACATTAATTTAAAAAACCTAAAGATAAATGGTGGAAAGATCAATAGAGGGAAGGGAGCAGGGGGTGGGGAAAGGAAAGGGGAAGGAGAGGTCCTGGGATCTGAATTAGACGAGATATAGTCCATGCTTTTACTATTACATCAAAACGGATTCTACTGTCATGTATAACTATAAAAATAAACAATAAAAATGAATAAAAAGGACTGGGGATATAGCTCAGTGACAGTGCATCCCTGGGTTCAACTCCTGATGATGAGGAGGAGGAGGAGGAGAAGGAGGAGGAAGAGGATGGAGAAGAAGAAGAGGAGGAGAAAGAGAAGGAGAAAGGGGAAGTGGAAGAGGAAGAGAAAGGAGGAGGAGGAGAGAAAAAAAGAGGAAGGAGAAGAAGGAGGAGGAAGAGGAGGAGAAAAGAAAATAGCCCACAAATATAATAGTCTCCTTTACCTAGGTTTTTTGCTTAAAAATTCTTTTGTTCTATATATCTCCCTGGTTATAGCCAATGCTTTTCAGTGGGAAGGTGGGCAAGTCATTTAGTCTCTCTAAGCCTTGGTTTACTCATCTCTAAAACTGGGTGAAAATTAACTATCTTACCTTTCCTATATACACATTGGAAAGATATTAAAATAAGATTAACTATCAAAGCACTTGGTAGATGATTGTTATTTGTAACTCTATTAAAAAGTTTACATGGTCCAGTCTACGTACAAAACTGAAGTCAGAAGCGTGGTCAATGACTCAAAATGAATTAAGGGAATTTCAGTCTTTAGACACTTGTCAGAGAACATTATAGATGGTCCAATCTGAGTTTCCTTTCTCTCTTCCCCAGATCCTCTACAGCTCTAAGAGGGTAAGACCGTCTCTACCAGGCCCTCATGTCTCCCACCTCTAGCCTTCTTTCCTCCCTCTTCCTACTTGTGCTTCTATCAGTTTTTTGATACGCAGTTCAACCTGGCCTCCTCACATTCTCTTTCTCTCAACTGTATTATTATCTAGAAGCGAAGTCTGGGAACTTACCCCTTTTCCCTCTCATCTCTCTAGTTTTAGCACTTTCCATCCAATTTCATGATTTGCATTTAAAAAGCCTGAGGGCTAGAGGGCAGCTCAGTGGTAAAGCACTTGCCTAGCAAGCATGAGGCTCTTGGTTCCATCTCTAGTACCACAAAAATAAATGAATGAATGATTAAAATTAAGTCTGAGAGCTGGGTGCATAAGGGTGCACATCTCCTTAGAGGAGAGGCAAGTTGGCAAGTTGTGATTCCCTTTATGGAGTTAGGATAGGAAACAGGACATATATACAACCAAACTTAGGATGGTCAGACATAACAACTTTTTGATTTTTATAGTGGGGCAAAAGCTATATGTACTCATTAGAAGTTGTACTTCAAATTTTGAATTTTAATTTTTTCCTAAGCTAGTGATATGTAGTAGGATACTCCTGCAATGCTGGCCAGTGACAGGAGCCTTAGTGCTGGTCAGTCATGTTATCATAAGAGGAAACCACTGGTACTATAAGATCTGCTACTAAGTTAGGATGTTCAGTAGGGTGGGTATATTAAAGGCATTTTCAGCTGAGGAAGGGTTTATTGGGACATAACCCCATCATTACTCAAGGAACATCTGTATTAGTTGATCTTGACCCTGTCATGTATTATTATTATTATCCCCCACTCGACAAAGGTGAGATGACCATGAGTCTATTAAAAATGCCTTAAAGCATAAGATGTTACATAGAATCAAAGGAAGTATGCAGGAAGAAGGTGAGAAGGTCTCACAGGAAGTCAGACTTAGTGGTTTGTCTCTAGAAATAGTAGATCAATAAGGGCTCTTAAAGGCCCCAGTACAGGGCTTTCCAAAATCTCTTCAGAAGAATAATAGTTCCCAGGCCATTAGCACATTATATCTAAGGAAGCGGGATTTATAGTGGGGAAGCAGCCTGCATAACATCATTCAGGTGGGGCTAAATCCTAGGTTTCCTAACCCCCATGGAGGTATCCAAACCCCAGTTCTTTGTGTTAGGTCCTGGAGGAATGGCAGAGAAGAAGAATGCCTCTATAGAACTGAAAAGGTTGCATTTACTCAACTATCAAGGCCACCTTAACAAAATAATTACCCAGGAAAACCAATATCATACCCTAAGTCTAAACCAGATTCCAAGGGTCATGACTTGAAGCCACTGACCCACTGATCAGAAGGATCACCTTAGTCCATGGCAATGCTTCTTTTCTAATGCACACTGAGGTCAGCCTCATTCCTGGTGTCAACTACCTGCTCCTGTTCCAAAATACTTATCCAATGGCCAGTCCCTCTCCAACTGTTCATATGTATCCAAGTCAAAGTTCAGATGAAACTAAAAGAGAATTTCATTACATAGGAGAACTGACAGTTCCTCCATGTCGGGCATCAAAACAGCCACCTCCAAATCTTTAACAGGGAGACTGGTCTATGTTGGGGATGTGCTGGGACCATCAGAGGAACATTATAGATAACCAATGACGGCTCCTTTACCTTCTTCTTGGACTTAAAGACGTTACACCTGAAGATATTGCTGGCACCATCTCGAGCGATATAGCTGAAGATCTTCAAGTCTTGGGAGTCATGAGAGACATAGAAGATCCTAAAAGAAGAACAACAGAAAAAATGTGCTGAAAATGGCATCCAGGGGGTTCCATTGGAAAACTTCTGACTAAGGACACTGAAGTCAACTTATCAAAGGAAGTCTTTTTCCTAGAGCATCAAAAAGCTATCATGTAGGAAGTATATTCAACAGACGCTACAAACACAGATACTCCTATGAGTGACTTCCAGATTTGGGATTGTAGACATGGGAAACCACACTATTGTCAGTCATTTCCCAAGGCAGCAAATCTGTCCTAGTGACTTCTGTGTTTGAAGAAAAATCATTCCTTTATCAGATAACAAATCTAACCCAGGGAAATGTATACAAGTTTTCTGATAACTGGTCACAATTATCCACAAATGAGGAACCTTGGGGAACTAATAATGCTAACCATGTTGGGAAAACCAAGATACTCCTTTTCATTACTGCAGGTCCTTGGTCATAGTGACTCCACTTCTCTGCCAGGACCATGGCTTCCACGTATTAATTCCACAATTCAAGTAGTGCTGTAAATGCTACCTGCTACCCTAGAAGCTGGGGATGTAGTGAGAATCGGACAAAGCCTTTGAACTCACTGGGCTTACATGTGGATGTCAATACACAAGTGAGATGAAGAAAACTCAGGCAGAACAGGGATGGAGCATGGTGGGGACTGCTATTTTCAAAAGAGTGGTCACACAGATAGCTAGGCAAAACCACTTCAGGAAGTAAGTACAGGAAGACTACAAGCCCTGCTGGGTGCAGAACATGTTAGAGGTGCTTGAGAAACAGATAGTGTGGTTCAGGTGGAGCAAGTATGGTCAGTAACAGGATCACAGTAGCAACCAGAGGACAGAATACAGAAGGCCTTGAAAAAAAAGGCCTTGGGGCTAGGGTTGTAGCTCAGTGGTAGAGCTCTTGCCTAGCACATATGAGGCACTGGGTTCGAACATCAGCACTGCATAAAAATAAATAAATGAACTAAAGGTATTGTGTCCATCTGTAACTAAAAATCATTAAAAAGTTAAAATTTAAATTTATAAAAAGGAGGCCTTGTATTCTCAGTGAGTTGAGAAATCATCAGAGGCTTCCGAGCAGAGCACTGACTTTGTATGCTTCCTTAGAACTAAAGGATCCCTATGACTGCTTAGGGTATAAAGAGATAGAGAGAAAAGTGGAGGTGGAAAGAAAGGGGAAAACATTATAAGTATGGCCCTGGTGGTAGGGTCTTAAGTGGATTAACTGGACCTAGAATAGGGCACCATAAGAACCACCAGACCTGACCATTGTAGGAGGAGGTGGGGAAGTGAGGTTTAGGGGATGCATCAGAGGAATGAGTTTTGGGTAATCCAGAAAGAGTATTGCTCTTGATAAATGGGACTGGGGCCAAATCATTTACACAAAACTTTTTTTTTCTCAATAACACTAGGAACTTTCATCCAGGGGTTAATAGACCTGTTATTTAAAAAATAAAAATTTGTATTATATAGGAGAAAAAGAATGAAACGTTACCAGTCTAAAATTTGACCTATAACTTTACTACTTATTATGAGGTAACCCCTCAGAGGTTCAGTTGTGATAACTGTAAAATGGGACTGCTAATAATCTTGCAGGGTTATTAAGAAGATGACATATTTAGTAAAGTGTCTTTTTACATCTCTTTACCAATGCACTTTCTCTATAGTCTAATAACTGAGATTTTCTTGCAGGAGCCTTACGGGGACATTCAAAAGAAGAACGGGCAAGAGAGAACAACAACACTGGGAAGAATCCCAGGTTCACCTTGGGGAGTCATTTCAATACATCTCACAATTCTACCACCTCTAAATGATCCCCAAATTGATAACATGGCTTCCAAGAGAGCTGTCTAAAGTTATCAAGACCATAGAGTCCCTGAATCTTCTATTAATGCCAAACTGTCTTCCCATAAAGGGACAAGCCAACAATGGTACTACAGCTCCTCCTGCTTGAACTCTAGGCCCATTTGGCCATCCCTCTCAGACGTCCCCTCATGAATGTCTCTCAAGCTTCTCAAATTCATTAGACTCCCAACCTGATCTCACCATCATCCCCCTAATTCTGGAAGTCAACGTGGCCTTCCTCCTCCTGAGCCTCATTTTAATGAGGGGCATCATATCCACTCAAGTGAGAAATCTCAGGGACATCCTTGACTTGTTCCTCTACTCTTCCTCAATATCCATCACTGATGACTAAGTTCCTGAACCTCCCTGATGTCTCTGTTTCTCTTCAACTCCACAGGAATGCCTTAGTTCTCATTTTTTCACCAGGATATTTGCAATAGCCTCTATAGGGTGTGTCTCTACTTCTTAGCTTACCGATTGCCAATCCATCCCCTATATTGCTAGCAAAGTGATAGTTTTTCTTTTTTTGATACTGGGAATTGAACTCAGGGGCACTCAACCACTGAGCCACACCCTCAACCTTATTTTGTATTTTATTTAGAAACAGAATCTTACTGAATTGCTTGGTGCCTTGCTAAATTGCTGAGGTTGGCTTTGAACTTGCAATCCTCCTGTCTCAGCCTCCTGAGCCACTGGGATTACAGGCATGCACCACTGCTCCCAGCTATTTTTATGTTTTTCTAATTAGACATTTTTATTGGTGCATTAAAATAGTGGTATTCATTTTTACATATTTGTACATGCACAGAAGAGAACAATATAATCCGGTCAATTTCACTCCCTACTACCTTCCCTTTCCTCCTCTCCTTCCTCCCCTGGTTCCCTTTCTGTACTAACCTCCCTTCTGTTTTCATGAGATCTGCCTCTACCTTTTATCCCTTTTTTCTCTCTAGCTTCCACATAGGAAAGAAAACATGACCCTTGACTTTCTGAATTTCACTTAATTTTACTTAACATAATGCTCTCAAGTTCCATCCACTTTCCTGAAACTGACAATTTTGTTCTTCTTTATGACTGAATGAAATTCTGCTGTATATGTATACCCACATTTATCCACTCATCCACTAACAGACACCTGGGCTGATTCCATAATGTGACTATGTGAGCTGTGTTGTTATAAACATGGGTATGCATGTATCACTGTACTATAATGATTTTAATTCTTTAGGCTAAATACCAAGGAGTGGTAGAACAGGGTTTGTATGTGGTTCCATTCATAGTCTTTTAAGTAACCTCCATACTGATTTTGCACAGTGGTTGTACTAATTTACAACCCCACCAACAGTGTGTAAGTGTTCCTTTTTCCCACATCCTCTCTTACATTTCTTATTTTTTGTATTCTTGATGGCTTGGCCGTCATCTAATTGGAGTGAGATGAAGCAAAGTGGTGGTTTTAAAAACACGAATTCCATTGCATCATTGCAAAGGCTTCCTACTACCTCCAGGACAGAATCTTAAACTCCTTAGCAGGGGGTATTTGCCTTTTGCTCTTGTACACCTCTATAGTCCCAACCTATGCAGGCCTGCAGGACTAGCTTCATACTTCTTCCTGCCTTTACAACCATTGTGAGCACCCTTGGCATCATTCTGGACTTGGCTCAGGGAAGACTTTTCTTTCCTTTAGCAATCTGAACTGCTGAACCCCTGTGGCTCATCTGTGCCAAAGCATGCATCTCACACTACGATGTTTTAAACAAGAGCTCCTTGAAGGAATAAGGACCACATCGTGGCATCCCCAGGACCACCACAGTGATTGGCACATGGGAGATTCCTGATGCCTATTCAGGAAGGAGGCAACGCATTCCTACAGTCATTAATGAGCACCTATAATGTAGTCAGTTCAGCTGTTCATTTTCCCCACAGGAAGTCAGGTCCAGTTAGTTCAAATGCATTGCACATAAAACTCCTTTGATTTTGGGTTTTTGATTTATTATGTAACACCCTAAGGACCAAGAACTGGATTTAAATCTGATGCTGCAGAGATGAATGTGAACTGGCATGCCAACATGACACAGATGTGGAAGGCACTCAGGGACAGTGGTGAGCTAAGGTTAAAGTAACCTTAACAGACAAAGCACTTCAGAAAGTCTGATGACAACCTGTACTTGAGTACAGCCACTCCCTCTGGATTGGAGCTCTCTGGAAACTGCTCTGCTTGCTGTGTCTGAGTTCAGAAATGTAATGTGTTGTCCTGAGAAGCAAATAACCTCTAGCTAAGCAAACAGTCTTTTAGTTCCTGCTTAAAAAAGTTTCCACCAACACAATCAAGTAGCAGACTTTTTCCATATGACCTCATTCATCAACAAATTAATAAATCAACAAATTAAAGGCTCAAGTCCAAACTCCCAGATCTAGAAATATATTTCAAGAACACTTGCTCTCCATGACTTGGTTTATCTTTCTATTTATTCTTTTCTTCCTTCCTTCCTTCCTTCCTTCCTTCCTTCCTTCCTTCCTTCCTCCCTCCCTCCCTCCCTCCCTTCCTTCCTTCCTTCCTTCCTTCCTGGGGATTGAACCCAAGGCACTTTACCTCTGCACTACACCCTCAGTCCTTTTTTTATTTTTTATTTTGAGACAGAGTCTTGCTAAATTGCCCAGGTGGCCCTCCAACTTATGATCCTCCTACCTCAATCTCCCAAATTACTGGGATCACAGGCATCGCACTCAGTGTTCACAACTCAAATTTTCTTAAGGGCTGTAAATGAGTGGGTGTTTGAAATTGGGGAAGAAATGTGAGCACTTCAGGGAAGAGGGAAGATTTACTTTCCACCTTCCCTCTTCATCTGTATGATTAAGATTAGAGTCCTTCCAATCCTGCTTCTATAAACTGTCCAAGTCAATCTTCTTAATTTTTACAAATTCAAAGGCAGGATACCGAAGCAGTTTGCATGAGTTAATAATAATTCCTAAGGTTTCACAAGGCTTTATTCCCACTTTAAATTTTCTAAGATTTCTTGCTTTTATTTTAAAATATGCAAAGAATTATAATTTTACTTACTATTAAAACTGTTGTGCTTAAAGCCATAGCAAGAAAATTCTGCAGATTCTTAGGTCCATAAGCTTCCCAAAATGAGCAAAAGATAAATAATTTCTTGG